GTCAAAAATAAAGCAGGGAAAAGTCTTGCTTCATTAATATATATATTTGCAGAATTAATTTCCAGCTCAAGAGAAAATTAGGACTGCTTCTATTTCCCTAACCTCCCCCTGCTCCTCGACAAGGAATATCTTGATGTTCCAATTTTATGTATGATATGTTTATTCATAATTTTCCTTATTTTATTTTCTTTAACTGTGTTTTATACTCCCTCTCTTTGTGCTTTGACAAACAGCTATCAGCATAATAGCGTCTGGAACTAACTGAATGCCAGGGAGCAGATGCTTGAAATGAAGTTTAGGCAACTGGAAATGCAGAACAGTATGTTGTCTTAGCCATTTAACTCTTTCTTGCCCAGGACAGAAACAAGTCTAGGATGAGTATGGAGAGAACAGGAGACCAGGATTATACATTCTATGCATCATAACTTTCTAATGCTCTTTATCAATTCATTTGTGTCTGTAAGAAGACACCTGTTTACACGGGCTTTGCCTTCCTCTTCCCTTCTTTTCAAGCCTTCTTTTCCCTTCATCTTTCCTAGAAGTAAACAATTCATTATAGAGTCAACCATATGGAGGAAGCAGGGGAGGAAAAATCCTTCTGAGAGGAGTCCATGTGGTATGAATAGAGACCATGTATTACAAAACATGAGGTACATGAAGTGCAAAATTTCTACCTATTTGAAGACTTTAGCAAAAAAGGTGTCTGGCAAAATATGTCCCCCAAAGACATGGTGGTGTCTTTTTTTCCAGCTGCTAGAAGAGGAACTCAGGTCTACAGAATTCTCACTAGAATAATGAAAGAAGGATCATCTTGTAAGAAAGGACTCAGGGGAAAAAAAAAGAACCACACCAAAAAAAAAAAAAAAAAAAAAGGTAGTTTTTCATCTGTGATTAATACAAAGACATGGTCATTCTGCAAATTCACTGATACTGGAACTGTCTTCAGAATAAGCATCCAGCTTCTGAAAACGTAAGATGACAGGAACTGGTTCCTCCTTACTTGGTGGACCAGTAGGACCAAAAAGGCTGAATACTTATGCAGAGGAGCAAAAATTCTCCTAGCCTAAGCTGTTTCACCAGTTATTTGAATATCAGTTGATTGGAAGGTGATGCTTTTTGCTTAATCTTCATGTCATAGGGCATACTTGAAACTAAAGAGTGACATGTATAAAGTTAGTACATTCTTTAAAAGTGAAATACACGACCTCAAAAATTAGTAGAAGTTTGAGAATTAAGATTATAGCGATTTGTTAGTATCCAGACACAATTAATTCTGGAAAAAAGTAGTTAATTAAGCTGCCAGGAGAAACACATTACAAAGTATGGAGCTAGTTAAATATTCCAGTATATCTATCATCAGTTTCACATAGATAAGTTCATCAGTTCAGACTTCTTGATGGATGAATGAAGGAATCATGCTTCAAATTTAGACTTAAATTTCTTAGATATACCTACATTAAGAAATAGTTGAGACTGGTCACTGTGAATATATGCTTTAAAAACAAAATGAATACAGATGATAAGCCAGCACACTGGCAAGTTTGGATTCTATGGGTAAGAATGCACTAATTTATTATATTTTAATATGGATATGTTGCTTGGTGGGACTATTTAGCTCTTAGATTTGTAAAAAGTGAGCAAACAATTTTATGAAGGAGGTAAGCACATGTATCAGCTTATTTTAGGAGGTGTTTCTGGTTTTGTGATTTGGAGTAAGTTACAGCTTCAAGAATCAGCTCTAACAACAATAGCAGCAGTAATAGGCTGCTAAATTGGCTAAAATTTGTATGAAGTGTTCAAGTGAAACTATAGATTTTCTTGAATTTTATTGAAACCATTTAACTGTAAATTACCTAAATCAGCCTAATTCAGTTAATATTCATCCCTTCTGCATTAATTTATACCTTTTTGGTCATAGACACAAAAAAACCCCCAAGCCAATAAATCAATTTAAAGGAAAAAAAGTAAATAAAGGCCTCAAATGAATGAAAATATAATTTGCATGAACCACAACCCTGGTAAAGAATACTGTGAACAAAAGAAGATGGTTCTCTGTCTTCTATATAGGATCTTCTGTATGTAAGAATCTAGATGGATTTCTAGCAACCAGATCACGCAAAAAGGAAATTAAATTGGGTGTCACAGAAATTGAAGTGACAGGACATTATCATCACTTCTCTTAATTTACAGAATGTCAAAACCAATCTACTTTAATTTCAGTAAAACTAAAGCAAATCATCAGGCTGGTCCCAGATCTGGGTACATCCAGGTCTGGCTGTCCCTGTCCAACCCCTTGTGCTTCCTCCACCTTGTCCATGGGCCAAGACCCCATTTCAAACCCTTGATGTGAATGGTCCCTATCCCAGCAATACCACAGCACTACCTGTCTCCAGCCATATCTTCTGGATGAACATGGATCTTCAGTATGTGCAGCCCGTCTCCTGGATGACCACCTCAGTCATACATTGCAGCATTTTCCCTGGTCTCCATCTGCATTAGCTCCTGACAGAAGCCCCTGGATAGTCCCTGGCCTGGTTCTTTGCTTTCCATTTCAGGGTCTGTTGATGGGCACTGTTACAGTCCCCAGCTCTGCCCACCACGGCCATGACCTATGGCACAGCATCCATGAATGAGGGTCCATCTAAGATCCCAGCTTGCCTGTCTCCAGAAGCACCTGGTGCTCAACACATCCTGTCAGTCTGGAGGGTGAGAAGAGGGAGCAGAGAGAGAAGTCATCTTGACTTGGAACCCTACACGGAAGTTGCTGCTCCAGAGTGTAAAGGGAGGCCTTGTTTTACCATCACCTTGAGCTGCTTTGATGCAGCAGCCTCTCACAGGTCCAGATCTTCACAGTACAGGATCCACCCTGGCTCCCCCCTATCCTTGCCTCTGCTCCCAGAGTTTACCTTGGTATTCAGAGGACAGCATGGTCCTTGTAAAGGCTTCAAACTCAGACCTAAACAGGGATTCCTCAGGTTTTTCAGTCACTTACAGTTTGTAAAATGAACCAAGTACTTCTCTGTGAGTAGGATAGGGGAAGAAGCCTTATTCAACACATATTTATTATTAGTTTAATTTCATACACTGCAAGAAATGACATCTAAAATGAAGTCAAAGCAGGGAAGAGGAGGAAAGAAAGTTTTGATGCTGCTACAACTTCGGTTAATGGAATCAATATTGACAATCCAAGAGACATGCTAAATAAAGAAATAAATTGAAACTACAGTCTACATCCTCCAGCTAAAAGGAGTTTTCCCATGTCAATTCTGAACCAACTGGGCCAGGTGGGGTTTTTTTTAATAACAATTCTTCATGTCATGCAAACTAAAGAAAATAGGAAAAGAAAAAAATAAGAAGTGCTAGTAACTGTTTGGTGGGGGACTTTTGAGAACTAAAATCATGCCAAGAAGAATTACAATATTAGTTTATCCCTGGGATACCTTCGAATGTAATTAAAAAAGTGTGATATCTCTAAAAGAAAAATGAAGTGTTTTTAATGTATGACTAAAGGTATTGAAAGATATAATTATTTACCTCCCCTGGTAACTTTGTTCTACAAAAGGAACAGTTTCATAGTTTCTACTTTAGCTCTCACTTCTTTTGTAATATTCTTCTCTTCCTGTTTCATCTCTGCCCTATATTAGTACACAGTACTATTTGTCACTCTGCCAGGTCTAAGAAAGTGATAAATTTTGATGCAATTATTCTTTTCCTTTTTACCTTGTATTTTTTTTTTCTTTGCTATCTTATTTTCCCTATATTTCCTTAACTCCTTCCCTCTAGGCTTCTGCATAATATCCAGCTACCTTCCCTGATTCTCTATTTATTTCTCCTTTTTCTCTCCATTCTTTCTTTTTGTCTTCCGAAAACCCAAATTCTGATCACTTTTCTGCATATTTTATCACTTCCTTCCTAATTTCTTATTTTCCTTCTCATGCCCTTCACCTTTGTCATGCTCAAGAAATCGGGCAAGGAAGGCAAGAGATCAGCATGCCTGAGTCATGAACTGCTAGTCAAACTAAAGGGCAGGAAGCAAATGCACAGGCAATGGAAGCAAGGACGTGTCCTGGGAAAAGTATAGGGACACAGTTTGGATGTTTAGGGATGGGGTAAGGAAGGCAGGCCAAGACGAAGCTGAAGCAGAATTTGGCAAGGGACACAAAGAATAACAAGAAGGGCTTCCACAGGTATGTCAGCCAGAAAACAGCCGGAAAAAAAGGTCAAAAAAGGCAACCCCTGCCCCCACCCCATTCCAATGAACAAGGCTGGCAAAGTGGAACCAGTAGATGAGGAGTAGGCCAAGGTGCTCAACAACATTTTACCTCAGTCTTCAGTGGAAACCTCTCTTACCACACCTCTCCATTGAGTGGACCACAAGAAGGGGACTAGGGGAGGAAAATTCTTCCCAGTGTAAGTGTGGAACGGGTTCATGACCACCTGAGAAATCTGATTGTATGTAAGGCCATGGGATCTCATGAGATGCATCCCAGAGTCCTTAGGAAATTGACCAATATAGCTACCAAGCCACCTCCATGGTATCTGTAAAGTCATGGCGGCCAGATGAAGTCCCAGGGGACTGGAAAAAAAGGAAACATCGTACCATCTTTAAGAAGGGTAGAAAGAAAGACCTTGGAAACTTTTCTGCAGGGGTGATAACCCACTGGCAAAGGCTGACCAGAGAAGCTGTAGCTGCCCCATCCCTGGAAGTGTTCAAGGCCGGGTTGGATAGGGCTTTGAGCAATCTGGTCTAGTGTGTGGCATACCTGTCAATGGTGGGGGGTTAGAATAAGGTTAGCTTTAAGGTGCATCCCAATCCAAAATATTCTGTGATTCTGTGATGATTCTATGATTGGCTGGGCATTGTTTGGTTGGTGCAGAGAAAGCTTCCATTCACTTTGCTTTCAGACTGCACGGTCCTGCAGGAGCGGGGAGTTGGTGCAGGGCACCACAGTCCGGTATCATCTCAGCAGACTGCAGCCTCAGCCTCTGTACCCCAGTGATGTTGTCCCTAGGTTCATCCCAGGATGCCCAGGCTTTTTTCAAGGAGCGCTGCAAGGTGTTACAGGCAGAGCTGGTCCAGTGGTGAGTGGCAGTGAGGGGCTGCGGTATGATCCTGGCTGAGGTGTAGGTCGACTCAGGATTGTTAAGGGCCAGAGGGTATCCCCAGTGCCTTGGAGGGCAGATATGTACAAGGTTAGGGAAGAGGACAACGACAAGGACACAATGTAAAGAAGCAGCAGCTCCAAGGAGCTGGAAAGCAGTAGATCCATGGCATTGTCCTGATTCATCCCCAGAGAAGTGACAACCATAGGCTCCATGGAGTCAGACAGCAGCAGCAGCTCCATGGAACTGGAATGTAGAACCCTCTCTGCTGCTTCAGGTAGGTGTTCCCTGGAAGAACCCAGACACCAGCAGAAGGTGCCCATAGGCAGGGAGCATGGCCAAGTGGTAGGATGGTTCCTGGGGAACTTCCATGCCTGGTGGAAATGCCACATCTGTCTCTGCAAGTGCTTGAAGTTCTTCTTGAAGTTCCAATGATAGTGGTGCTGGGACTTCAAGAGAAAAGGGTTCCATTAACCCTGAGCAGGTGGGCAGTGTGTGCTCAGGAACTGCTTGGGACAGCCCAATCCCTAGGCCTGATCAGATCCCTCTGTAGAGGCTTCTTGCCCTCTGGCAGATTCACATACGTCCAACCTGCTATCCTCTTCAAGAGACTTAGGGTGCACTCGATCCCCTCCTCCAGATCATCAATAAAACTGATATACAGGAGTAGTCCTAGTACTGAGCCCTGGGGAACATCATTGAATTAGAAAGAAATTCTTCCGTTGAGGATGACAAGGCTCTGGCATAGATTGCCCAGAAGCTGTGGCTGACCCTTCTCTGGAAGTGTTCAAGGGGAGGTTGGATAGGGCTTTAAGCTACCTGGTCTAGTGGAAAGTGTCCCTGACGATGACAGGGGGGTTGGAACTGGGTGAACAGTAGAGCCCCTTTCAACTCAAATCATTCTATGATTTGCCATCTGTACAATCACCAGGTAGGATGAAAAAAGGGTAAAATATAGAAGAAGGAAAAGTTGTACCCTGTACAATACCTGTCTCTCTCCCTTCCTCTGGCACCAGATAGCAGTAGTAACCAAGGAATTGGGTTTTTTCAAATGATAGGAGCCTTCTTCATCCGTCTCCTGACCGCGCGGAAAAGAGAAGGAATCGTTTCTTTTACTAGAGAAATACATCTGTTTTTCTTGCCCCAAGAAGCAAAGCAAGAACATATGCTTGGAAACCAAAGCTCCCCATCTCAAATGTTGTTGATATTCTTCCTGCCTGCGACAGCATCCAGAGTCCCAGAAATTTCTTCAGGACAGCTTCAAACAGGCCTACTGTTGAATCCTTGTTTCTACTGCTTCTGAGAAAGGTGAGTTACATTACAGATAAGCAAGATTTTCTTGCTGAGTGGAATTGTTTAACCTTTTCAGGGAAGGGAAAAAAGAGGGGGCCAAACCCACTTTTCTGAAACACTTTAATTTTGGGTATAACTACAAAATTAAAGAAGGTAAGGGTTTCCTCATGGAGCAATTCTACTACTTAATATCAGTAATCAACCACTCACAAGACCATTGTGTGGGCACTCTTAATCCAAACTTCCAGCTAAGGGCATCTGAATCCATCTCTGCTTGGAGTGCCTATTCCCAGCACAGGAGATTTTTTCAAGCTTCACAGCACTGATCGGCTTCATTTTTATGGACTGCCTAAATACCCATTCAGTCAGAGAGACCCCTTTCTTTGGAGCAGGGGAGGTGAGACATGTGCATTTAAATTGTTGGTCTGACCTGGCAGATTAATTGAAACCATTCTCTCTCCTGAGAGCAGCACACCATGAGAATACAGAAATATTTTCATTTACCTTCCACTTGATCATCGATATCAATGCCAGACTTTCTACTGACTTGGGGCTAGAATAAGTTGCTATGTAATTATATTACCATACTTTATACTGTTATACTTTTAAATTCTATACTGTAATTATACAGCATAGAATTAATTGCATAAAAATGTGTTAGCCTGTCATTAATAAGATTTATCATGCATTCTTCCAAGTAAATTACAAGAAATTATCATAACATGGTAAGGGTGCAGTGTGACATAGTTTTTTGGAAAACCTGAATGGGAGTGTTACGGTTTTTGAATTGGTACAATCATTATTATGCTACCTAAAGCAATATCGCAAGAGTTTATTCAGGAGAGCACATGTACAATCCCTGTTGTTTAACCAAGACAGTGATGAAACAAGCGTGTTCTAAGTGCTGGCTTAAAGCAGAATTTTCTCTGTACCAGGCCTTAAGAACTCCATGTCTGAACATATCTCTCTACAAGCCTGTATAATATGTTGTACAACCTAGGCTTAATCTTGAGCAGTCTACAGTCTTAGAAATATCTGAAAAAGCACCTTACATTGGTCTCTAATATTAAGGAATTAAATTTAAAGTATTTCACCTCCTATAGTGCTTTAATTTTTACCACCATCTTTCTACTCTGCCTCACTGTTCTTCCTCTAATTGCTGCTACCAGGTTTTTCAGGGCAGACATTGATTTTCCATGTGCTTTCTGGAAACTATCAGGCACAATTCAGCTACTTAAGACAGAGTAACAATAAGAAAATGTACTGTAAACAAAACAGAGAGCATGCCAAAATGGGATGCCTGACACATTTCTGCATGGGAATCTTCTGCACACTCCAACCAAGATGCTTTTGCTCCTTGCAAGTCCAGTGAATCATTCATACTGTAAAGGAGTAATTTAATTTCTCAAACAATAACATAAAGCAATATTTACTGAAATAATGGCTAATAAAATTCTTAAAAAACCAAATAGCCTCTACTGCTGTTAATATATTTGCCACAGAATTCTGGCAGCTTTGAACAGCTTTGTCATTTCAGGCATGCAATGGTGTTCATATTGATTCAGGCATTAATCAGAACACATTTTTTATTTCAGAATTAGCACTCGAAAAGTCTTTTCTCTGTTATCATGCTAATATGCTATATCAAAGACTAAATTAACATTTTACTGCTGCTAACCAGAGGCAATGCTTCATATACAGTTCAGATGATGTTGCCAAACTTTTCACATTACCAGCTGTTTAAATCTGAGAGTGCTTAATATCTGTGGACCTAAAGAATGATCTTTTGAAAATAACTTAACAAAGCCCCCCAGAGTCCAGTACCAATATTCCCAGAGATAATGAAACCTCATACTGTTCCTGATCTCTATTATGTTTCCAGTAATGTGGCAATGAACAGTGTTCCAAACACCATTATAGAACACCCCTTTCCATCTTCACCTTCCTTTCATTTTTTCAAACTTTTTTTAGTCTCAAAGGTATTCTGAAAAAGGACAGGAGAGCAGAAGAGAGGACGGAGCTGGTAACCTGCTGCATCTGAACTGCTTTCCTCTCCTGAGACCGAAAGATAATGACAAAGCAGTAAAAACTGTATTTTGCTGTTTTCCACCACCTTCACGTGAAAACTGCTTCCCTTCTTCTAAAGCAACCATCCAGTGTCAGCAGTTACCATTATGCATTAGTGTTTTGCTGGTAGAATTCCTGGCTCTCACCGCAGAGGTTTCCTATGGCAAACATCCCAGTTTCATCCTACCTGTAAATGCGTAGATCATGCATGCAACTACTGCCTGCCAGGGAACACTCATTGATCACCATTCAGGCAAATTTTCTTGACTTTTGTGAGATCTGTATAAAAACATTCAGCATGGTACCTGTGAAATTATGCTAGCAGAAGCTTGTATCTCCTGCATGAATGTAGAATATTTTACCAGGAATCTGATAGATACAGCTGAGAGCACATGGAAGTTTTCACTTTTCTTCTGAGAACGGTTCCTATCTACAATGAGGAACACAGGTTATGCACTCTGTTTAGACTTAGAATAAACATGATCTAGGTTTAAATTGTGATTTAAATTGCCATTTAAAAAAACTCATCCTCATATGCATTTAGAACAACACATACACTCAATTATAAAATTTAACACAGAATCAAAGAACTACCCTTACATATCTGATTATGAATTAAAAATAATTAAATCTAGATGGTGACAAATTAGATTATCCAGGAAGTTAACTTGCTCCAAAAAATTCCCCATCTCTTTATCACCTAATGATACTTGAGGGTATTGAAAAGACCTTTTCATCAAGTTGAGGACCAAATTTTGTCTATGTCAGACCAGAGGTACCAAATTTACAAGTACTGATATTGTCTCAGTCAATGGTGTAAAGAAATACCAACCACAGCAGTAATGGCAAAGAACAAGAGCTGGGCTGTTCCTCAACTATTATTTGCATTCACTCTGGGATCTGCAGGAAGCCTGTACAGGCCTGAAAAGAACTATGTTCCCATCAAGTTGCTCTCCCCATAATCAAACCGCCAGAATCTTCATTAGCATGCCTTTATAAATGTCAAATGTTTGGCAATAATTTAATGTTTAAGAGGCTAGGAGTTGATTGTCACTGCCAATGTCTGTATCCACAAGGAAGGTCACAGCTCTTTGTAGCCAAACACTAGTAATGCAAGGCTCTCTGGATTTCTGCTGTGACATAATTGTCAAATAGCACTTGAGAGTTTACAATCACATCTTAGCTGTGGGTACTGTTAACTAATGGTGGATATATTTCTTCCTACAGATGAGCTAAGATTACTTCCTCTGTCTCCTCTGGCTACTTTCCCAACCTGTCATCACATTCTTGGTTAAACCAAGTTGAGCCTCAGCCAACTAATTTATATCTCTGTTCTACTCTTCTTTGCAAACCAAGGTGTTGTGTCATCCATCATTGGTGGAAAATATAGATTCATAGGTTTTCTTCAGCAATAGGCTAAAAATAACTAGATCACATACTTCCTAAGGGTGGGATTCATTTATTTTAACTTTTAGCCACCTGATGTCCAATCTAGTGTCCTTGCCTCCGTACAAAAGTCATAAAAAAGAGTAATAAGCAGGTCCAGAAGGCAAGGATTTTGACCTAGCTTAAACGTATCCTGCTTTCAAAGCCTACTTCTCTCTCTCTTTTCTGTGAGAATAGTCAAAGTGTCTAGCTCAGACTTGGACAAGTTTTTTTGACAGCAGAATTAGATCCCATACTAACTCCCAAATGGCCTCTTTTCTGCTTGAATAAAAGGGAAAAGCAAACCAGTGACCAGCATTATTCTCACTAGAAATAAGTTTTTTTCGAAAAACAGTTACCCATACTCATCTGCTGAAATTTGCATAAGAGGAATAAAAAAGATACTGAAAAATAGGGTTTCGTCTTACTCTGATAAGAGACACCACTAAGTCACTTAACAGTCCTTCACAAGCAACAGTGTTGAAAGCAGCTGTAAGCTTTCAAAGCAAGTGAAAAAACATCTACTCGAAATCATCAGCTATTCCTTACACAAATGTTATAAACCACCTCACTCTCTCTGGCAGGGCCATCCCCAATTTTTACATCCCAGTGCTCCAGGCCCTCGGTTTTAGAAACTATGTGAGAATTCATTTCATATTGAACCAGGCTGTCATCCCCTAAGAATGATGCAGTTCTTTATCAGCTTCAAGTTAGATTTTTTCCAAAGACCTTCTAAAATCATGGGTTTACAGAAAGAGGAAGAAAGAAAACCAACAACCAAAACACATTCTTCAAATAGATATAGAACCAAGAATACTTTTCTTACAATGAGTAAATGATGTATTTGAAATCTATAGCTTTAACATACAAATATTTGATATTCAGAGGTGACTGCTGTTAGTGAGCATTCTGTTTTGGAACACAGATAGCATTTAAACCTTAATAAAAGGTGAATTTTTCACCCACATTGATTTAACAGTTCAAGAAGAGACACTGCTATTCAAACAATATATTTAGCTTCTTAGATTCTGAGATCTGCAAAGAAGAATTCACAGATTTAGGCACTGTATGCTCATGTAGAAAAGTTTTTCCTTTTTCAGCTTTCAGATGCCCTGGATAAATAAAGCTGTTTTCCTTTTTTTGCCAACAGCAAGAGATCTTGTACGAAGGGCAAGTTAGAAAAAGAACTATAAGAAAATTTTATTCTTAATACTTTGACTACTACTTCTGAGCATTACAGCAAGATTTCCTGGAAACTTGGTACCCAACAATACAAAAAGAGAAAACAAACAAACATTACCTAATGTACATTGCTGTTTCTCATTTATTTTTAAGGAATGCATCTAACTTGCAAAGAGAATTTCAAAGATTTTAGCTCCCATTCTGCACCTTTGGGAGCCCTACTACCATTGAATCTTCAGGTTTACATGCTTTCTAACACAGATTACAGTATCACTATTGATCTAACACACTATAATTGCCAATCATTTATGAAAAAAGCACAAAACACTACTACAGCCCCTTCACATGTAAGATGCAACACAGCGCACACGGGATCAGTAATAGAACATGGAGTATTTGAATACTGAACCACAAGCCAAGGCTGCTTACTTCATCATTAGTGTGAAAAAAATTAGAGTATGCCAATAATTTCTTCATTAGCTCACCACCCACAATGCAAGGCAGCTTACTGAAGCACTAAAACCCAGAGATCTGTTTCTTTCCAGACTACTGAGCCATTTGTTATCGGTGTTATGATTTCAAAGGTGCTTCTGTCTGAAAAAGAATCGAATTTGTGTTTTCAGAAATCCGTTTTTTCATTAAGATACAAAAAAATAAAAAAACCTTTATCAAGGTGTCACAATGGTTAAGCTGGTGTGAGGTGGGGATATTTAAAAAGGCTTTGTTTAACCCAGCAGTGCATATGTCCTACATAGTCCCTACAGAAGGAAAACAGGCTCTCAGAAGGGCAATTGAGAGCAGGCTCTGAAACACAGGTAATCTGACTTGCCCACTAAAGGAGCCTGTTGATTGTAAGTCAGCTTTTCTCAAGCTCCCTGCAAGCCTGACCTTTCCTGATTTTCATTGCCTTTGTACTAATCCCTGTCCCCAAAGAGAAAAACTACTACCTTTGACTGACACCAGCAACTCCTCTGCTAGGGAGTAAGGAAAAGAGAAGCTAATGTAATTATTGTGAAGAACTTAGTTCACTTTTTGCCCATCACATGGAAGCTAAGCCATTGTTGCAATTAGTGGTTGTTAGCTGTTCCCTGGCTAGTATAAACTAGCAACCAACAGTTGCAGCTGCTTTGTACTCCATTACACAGGAGAAACTGAGATGCTGCTAGTAATAAATCAGCATAATTTAATTTTGATTTAATGTTTATCCTTTTTTTCTTTAATAGCTAATAGTATTTTGATCCCTTTTAAACATTCTTGTCTCTCACTACAATGCTCATTTTGATAAATTGCTTCAGACCTATCAAACTTTATTTTTAAAATATCCTTTTTTTCCCACAAACCTTCCACCTGTAGAGTGTCAGTGTATCTTGTCTGAGCAGCTAATACTTAGGTGATAAAACTATTTAATTATCAATATGTTGCTTGCAGGTTTTTTTTCACTTGTGAAACTTTTTGTGATAGTTCCCCTTGGATAGGGGGGAATACTAGGTTTACAGTAAGAAAAAGCTGTATTTACTAATTGCAGACATAAATATGCACCTCCAAACCTCAGAGAAAGCAAGCTGTTTTAGTCATTAAAGTTACCCAACAGTGTAAACATTCAAAGACTGTAATGACAGCTTGTTCTTATTTCCTTGCTTACAGAAATTGGACTGCTTCTGGCTGCTATCAATTAGCACATCCCAACAC